AAAATTACTCCAGTGAGTGATTGTTTTGTTTTGGAATCTATCATGTTGATGGAAGTCCCATTGATACGTTAACGGGGTTTCATATTTTTCGAAGTAATAGGTTGGAAGGTATTTCAGGGACAAGAATAAATGTGGTCAGATTACAAGCCAGCAGCCAATTAAGAAAATATCTAACATTTAACAATATAATGTGTGACAATGCTGCAAGCCACACAGAGTCCTTAACATTTTTTTCCTTTATTCATTCACAGGATGAGGGCATCACTGGCTCAACAGCATTTATTGCACATCCCTAATTGCCCAGAGGGCAGTTAAGCACCAATCACATTGCTGTGGGTCTGGAGTCACATGTAGGCTAGACCAGGTAAGGATGGCAGTTTCCTTCCCTAAAGGCCATCAGTGAACCAGATGGGTTTTTCCAACAATTGGCAATGGATTCATGGTCATCATTAGACTATTAATTCCAGATGTTTTACTGAATGCAAATTCCACCATCTGCCATGGCAGGATTCAAACCCGGGTCCCCAGCATGTTATCTGGGTCTCTGGATTAAGAGTCTATCAATAATACCACTAGGCCATTGCCGCCCCAATGCAATACATTTTGTTCAAATGCTGTTATGAATAAGAGGATGCAAGTTGAAGTTAGACATCCATGGAGAAGATGAGAAACCAGATTATGAGAACTCTCCTGCTGGTGTAGTGCTAAAAACATCACTAAGTTAATGTTTTCATCACAAAAGATAGGTCCTAGAATCAATTCAGAAATTGACCTTAATTGATTTCAGCCTCAGCAGCAGTTGGGGGCTTCTTCAAATTTGCAGAGACAGGAACTAGTTGCTTGAGTGCTCATTCTGATTACTGTGTACTGACTGCTGGAAGGTATGCATGGACATTGGATGAGAAAAAGATCAGGTTCCTCAGTTCTGTTGAGCACATCACCAAGTCACCCCTTATTTACACATGAACAGCCTTTGACTTCATACTGCCTCATACAGAGTCAGGTTCTAGAGTGTCAGTATCTCATTTTAAATGTTAGCTAGGGGTCCCTGATTGGGGCTGTTAATGTGGTCCAATTAGGGAACTCATTCTATGATGGCCAACTGGCTGACCTCATTACAATCACTTCAGCTAGCAGTAGTCATTCACTTTTTTACAATATGAGCATCAATAGCAGGGCCAGGTTTTGTTGCCCATGAGAAGGTGTCAGCTACCTTCCTGCGACTGAAGTCTGTGTGATGAAGGTACTCCCAATGTTCTGTTAGGGATGGAGTTCCAGTATTTTGACCTCTCAGGGGAAGAAAAAACATGTAACATCATGATGCAATGTGGTTTCAGAGTGCCAATGTGTTTCAATGTGCCTGTTGCCCCAGGTGGTGGAGGTTCCTGGTACTGGAATTTGTTGTTGAAAACACCTCTATGAATTATGGGATAACAAGGTGTAGAGCTGGATGAACACAGCAGGCCAAGCAGCATCAGAGGAGCAGAAACGCTGATGTTTCGGGCCTAGACCCTTCTTCACTGCATCCTGTAGCAGGCACATATTGCAGCCATAGTAGGTCAGTGCGGGAAACATTGAATGTTTCTGGTGATGATTGACCATCTATTCCAAATGGTTTGAGTTCACCAATGAAACATTTGTCATTAAAGTGAAATTGAGACATTGGAACTGTACCTCTGAAACCCTCAACAGACAGCAGATTAGGGACAACAGAGCACAAAGTTGCAAAATAATGATGCCGCTACAGTACTGTAGTGTAATCTGTTCCTGATATGCAAACCTCATAAACTCAATAGTACCAGTAAAATATTTAAAAATTATCAATTACAATTTTTTTAATCCACAATGGCTCTTTCTATTTGCTGCCAATTGTTCAAACTTCCACATGGTGCAAGCTCCTGTCATGACACAGCATTAATTATTTGTACATCAGAAGTGTTGAAAAACTCACTGTGCTGACACAAGAGTAATGGCTTCCTGTTTTCAGAAGCAGCCTAGCTCATGTCTGAAAGGAGCATACCCATTGCACTGAGATTTGGATTCATTAAATGAGGAAGCACTTTAAGAAAAGGAGAAAATGAACCACCTTGAGCTTTACTATGAAACTCCTATCAATCAAATGGGAAGTAGAATTAGCAGGAGCCTTTTAAGCAAGGAAATCCTACCAGGGAATGCTCTGTCGAATAGAGAAACCTGAAGTCTTTAGCTTAAGAGAAATTCTTGCTTTTTAAAATGTTATGAAATTAATTTTTAAAAAATCCATCCACATGATGTGGGTGTCACTGAAAAGGCCAGCATTTATGGCTCATTCTTAATGGCCTTTGGAAAAGTGTTGAACTGCTGTAGGTCCTGTGCTGAATATACTCCAACAGCTGTTTGGTAGGTGCTGTAGGATTTCTGCGCAACCATGGTTAAAGAACATATCAGGGTGCAGTGTGACTTGGAGGCAAATTGCATCAGTTGGTGTTCCCAATGCATCTGTTGCCTTCAGCTTCTAGCCAGTAAGAGGTCATAAGTTTGGATGGTGTTAAAAAACTTTTAATTTCTTAAAACAGTTACTGTATTAAAAGTTGTTTTGATACAATCAAATTAATCATTGTTTTTAATGGCATATAGCTACAAGACAAAACCCTTTTTTGATAAGCAAATTAATTGTTTTTATTGCCTATTGTTAGTTTAATGCAATCATATTCATAATACTTTCTGGCATTTAGCAGCTGTATTAAAAATTTAATACAATCAAATTGATTTGTTTTATGAAAAAGCTATTTCATGTTAACTTGAAAAGAGCTCTTTGAAGAAGACACTTACCTGCTGCATTCATGATTTTAGTGTCTCTGTTAACAGTGATGATGGCAAGAATTCTAAGCGCTTCACATAGACTAGCCACGAGTTCCTTTCGACGCACTATTCCTTTCGTTCACCACCATAATCTAAAGATGTTCAAACAAAACTCCCTTTGCTCTCCCATACAATGTATCTCAGAAGACCAGCAATGCACTAATGTGACAATGTTTGATTTTACACATTAGCAATTATTGAGATCTCAGTGACATTGCTAATTTAGGATGGTATTATCAAAACCGAAAGAATTGCAAAACGGGAACAAAAACAGAAGTTACTGGAAGCTCAGCAGGTCCGGCAGCATGAAGAAAAAAATCAGAGTTAACGTTTCGGTCCGGTGACCCTTCCTCAGAACTCCCAGTCACCGGACCCAAAACATTAACTAGGATAGTTTTATGTTTTAAGGTAAAGTTCGGCAGGAATTTGGTGCTTTAGGTTGGGACCATTTAGCCAACAAAGAAAGAAGTCTAATATTTCATCAGTCCGGTTTGGATTTGAACTCAGACCCCTGAGGTGAATGAGCAATGTTTCTCATTCTTTATAATTTTACAGTTTCAGTTGAGGTCATCTAAAGTTTTTTTGCTTAATTTGTAAATTATTTAAATGTTAATTGTTAACTGCTGCACTCAATGTCACCACGTGGTTCTGAAATTATTTCCAACTTGATTAGACAAGGCGGACCCTCTCTGCAATGACAAAATACTACAGGCTTTATAAGTGCAATTTGTTTTAAGCTAACATTGATTATATTGATAAGAATCCTGATTGTAAAAAACAAAATGTCCTCTGACTCAGTCAACAAAGCCACAGGAAATTGCTCGATCTGTAAATTCAACTCTTGCACTTACCATATGTCCATTACATTTCACATGTCAAACTTTGTGACTGATCAACATTTGTACTCATCTATATGTCCTTAGGATATCCACTGCCAGTTAATTAGTTTTGATTTATAATGATTCTGAGGAGTCCTGTGGGATGCTTTACTTTTTAAGGGGTTCACTCTGCTTAAATCCGCTGCCCAAAGGCAGGTCTGTCTCTAAGCAAGGGCAAGGAGTTAGTTGGTAAATCTGCTGGAAGGGGAATTGAACGTTGCACTTCGGCACCATTCTTACATCCAGACTGGATCCAGCCAATTCAGCCAATCAGCTTCGCATCCAGTTGCTGTGACAACACATACTTTCGCTGGCATGTTATAATCCTGAGCTGTGAATGGTATGAAGGTGTGATGGTAGAGATTCCACTTTCTTCCCGTCACACAGCTTACCAGGAATCTCTCCCACTCTCACCACCTGCCATTGGCATTTACTACTTGGAGAGGGATATAGCTGCATTGGTGGCAGTTCAGAGGAAATCCACTGGATTGGTTGCAGAGATGGGGGGCTTTACTTTAGGAAGAGAGATTGAACAGTTTAGGCTTATCCTCTGGAATTTAGAAGAATGAGAGGAGATTTATTTGTAGTATATAACGTGATAAAGGGGATTGACAAAGTAGATTCAAGAGGATGTTTCTCTTGTGGGGCAATTTAGAATGAGAAGTGATAATTTTAGGAAAAGGGGTAGCAAATTTAAAACAGAGATGAGGATATATTACTTCTCGCTAAGGGCTGTTAATCTGTGAAATTCACTGCCAAGGAATGCGGTGGATGCAGAGACATTGAGTAAATTTAAGGAGGAGAAAGATGGATTTTTAATTAGTAACACATTGAAGGATTATGTAGAGTAGGCAGGAAAGTGGAGTTGAGATCAGCAATCCTTGTATTGAGGGGCTGAATGGCATGCTTCTAGTTCTTATGTTCCGTATGATATCAACCAGTCTGATCCTGTTACCAATGCTCCCCCCTTGACCAACAATGGGACTTGAACCCGAAGCCTCTGGCCTCAGAGACGGGAACATTACACAGTACATTACAAGACCTCCCAAGGGAACTACGTAAATATAAAATGTTGTGATTGACTTGTGGTCACCGTTTTGTAACTAAGGCAACGACCAAACACGGAAAGCGCTGGACAAACATAGCAGGGCTGCGGAGAGACAAACAAGAGTTAACGTTTGGGGTCCAGTGTGACCCTCCTTCCGAGCAGCGATCAACTGGCCCACAACAGTTTCACGCAACCTTCATCCAGGTCAGAAACGCCACGGGAGATTCACCAGCATTCAAATACAAACATTGCAATTCAGTTAAAAAGTGTTCTTTATAAATTGTGAAATAATGTTGCGCGAGGCGCGGAGAATTGCGGGTCGTGTATTGCCGGATCCCACTGGGGGTTAATTTTTGTGATTGTGCAAAAAGATTACGCCAACGCTGTACGACTGAGTGAAACAGTCTGGAATAGACAAGTCAGTCAATGGGAAGCAGGGAAGGAGTGTATAAAGCAGGAATGCGCTGTAGATGCATAATTGACTTACTCTGGCGTTACTCACAGAAGCGGAGAATGAAAACTTGGGACGCGTTGACGCCTAGCTCAAAGGTTCCCCATGAAAACGGGCGTGTAGCACATTAAAAGGGGAGGGAGGGAAGGATGGAGGAGGTGGGTAGGGGAGGGATTCAGAGTAGAGGCGGTACTTCCAGTCTCAGGCTCTCTTTTGTCCCCTGTTCCCGTTGCGCCCACTTTGTAATTGACGCCGTTTCAGTTTCCTGTCTTGTTCATTTCCCTCCGCAGGGGACACTTTCTTTTGTGTCGTTACTGTAAAAAAAGAACCTCAGCTGCGCGCATTAAAAAAATCACAAGGAATAATGTGGAAATGTTACCAGCCGCAACACAGAGAAGTGGGGAGCTCCGGGATCAGCACCAATCCCGGGAGGCGTGACAGAATAATTTTTATTTCAACAGGCGAGGTAAGAGTCCCCCAATTCGAGTCTGTTTTGTGGCGTGCATTTGACTAAACAGACGCTTCACGCCGTGAAAGTGAAGTTTATTCAAGGAGTCTGAAAAATAATTTGTTTTAACCTCTCGGAAACATAATGGCCCAGCTGCTTTTACTGTTGATTGCAGAAAGTTTCTGGTTTTAATTCAGAACTTTAACTGAAGTGAGAGGACAATCTGTGACCCTTCATCGACGGAGTAGTTTAGACATTAGATTAATTAAATAAGCGATTTAATTTCTATTGATTCAACAGGAATTATTTGGAAATGGCTTAAATATAAATGGCTTAAGTTCAAAGTGGAATTTGAATGAAAAATAAAAACCGCTATGAAATCTAAATCTCTTTCATTGCATCTTAAAGCACTGCCCAGTACGAGTCAGTATTGTTTCACCTCAGGCAGGGTCAAATCGTGGCCTAGTTTTTATCATCTCAAGACTTCAGTCTCATTTCATCCTGATCTTGTTTTGTCTTTATTGTATCAATTTTATTGCAAACAGACAGATTTGAATTTTCAGCCTCTCTTGGAAAGACCAAATTTGTCATTTTAAATGCTGATCCACCTCCTACATCTTCAATGTACTGGAACAAGACTAACCTCAACTTGTTCTTTATCCAGTTGTCCTCTGCACAATCTCAGACTTCACAATTGGTGTCACCAAAGCATTATTTGTAATTTTTTTTTCAATCTGGACTCCATTCAGTTTTGACATGGTCTTTTGTTTTCCCTAAAAATAGTAAACATTAAGACCAAGAAATAATATGGGATTGAGAGCCACAAAATAGCAATGTCACAAGAGTTTAAAATTGGGAAGGACCATTGTGGATTTATAGAAGTTCAAAAAAAAAGAGACCTGGGAGTGACAAATTATCCAGGCCATGATGGTTTCTACCTCAGTATGTTAGGAGAAAATGACAAAACTTACTCAAGGTACTCAATTTCCAAATGTCACTGGGTTCTATAATTATGTCCTTCAGAACTAGGTCTCAAGAAAGAAAGGTCACTAGACTGAAAACGTTCACTCTGTTTCTCTCACCCCAGATCTGCTGAGTTTCTCCAGCACTTTCTGTTTTTGTTTCAGATTTCCAACATCTGCAGTTCTTTATTTTATTTTAGTACCTACTGTAGTCTACTTGTGCCTTTGTAGATGGTAGACATGCTTTGGGGAGACTGGAGCTGAGTTATTCACTGCAGAATTCTTAGCTGATGGCCTGCTCTTGGAGCCACAATATTTATACGGCCAATCCAGTTTGGTTTTTGATCTTTGGTAACCCCAGGATGTTCATAGTGGGGAATTCAGTTATGGTAATAATGCCTTTGAATGTTAAAGGGTGATGGTTAGATTCTCTGTTGGAGACAGTCCCAAATGTTACTTGCTGCCACTCGTTAGCCTAAACTTGGGTGTTGCTGTAAATAGACACAAACAGCATCAGTATTTGTGAGGTGTTGTGAATGGTGCTAAACATTGTGTAATCATCAGTGAACATCCCCACTTCTGACTTTAAGGTGGGAAAGGTTATTAATGAGGCAGCTGAAGAACTACACACCATGACAACTTCTTTATTCCATTGGGCTCTGGATTCCATTGGGAGCTGAGATGCTTGACCTTCAACAATCACAACCATCTTCCTTTGTGTTAGGTTTGACTCTAACCAGTAGAGGCTTTTGCCCCCATTTTTCTAGGGCACCTTGACGCCACACTCTGTCAAATCTACCTTGATTTCAAATGCAGTCACCTTCACCTCATCTCTGATATTCAGCTCTTTTGTCCATGTTTAAGGCAAGGAGCTGAGTGGCCCTGCAGAACCCTGAACACCACTGAGCAGGTTATTGCTAAACAAGTGGTGCTTGATAGTGCAGGTGGACACACCTCGCTCTTGGCCAAAAGTAGACATGGGGATAATTGGCTGGGTTGGATTTCTCCTTTTTGTGCACAGCACACACTGGGACAGTTTTATATGTTGTGGGGGTAAATGTCAGTGCTGCAACTGTACTGGAGCAGCTTTGGCTTGGAGAATTTTGTTATAGACTTTGCAGTATCCAATATCTTTGACTGTTTCCTAATATCATTGGAGTGAATCAAATTGGTTGAAGACTGGCACCTGTGTTGCTGTGGACCTCAGCAGTATGAGATCTGAAAGTAATGTTAAGGTCTCCCAGGGCACCTCTTCTTGACTCAATACCACTGTGCCAGCACCTCCTGTGTGCCTGCCGTGCCAGTGAGACAGGAAAGGGATGGTAATGTCTACGGATCTGTCAGCTATGATTTTGTGAACATGACTGTGTCAGGCTGTTGCTTAACTGGTTTGTGGGACAGCTGTCTCAATTTTTGCATAAGTCTCCAGATATTGGTTAGGAGAATCTTGCAGATTTTCCAGGGCTGTTTTTGCCATTGACCTAGGCTTCAGAAATGACAATGCTGGGTCATCTGTCCACTCTAATTCCTTCATTTAGACTTTGTAGCAGTTTGATACAACTAAGTAGCTTCCAGTGCAGTGCAGCATCGACCACATTGCTGTGGGACTGGAGTCATATGTAGGACAGACTAGCTAAGGATAGCAGATTTCATTCCCTGGGGACATTAGTGAACCAGACGGATTTTGCTTATATGGCCATTGGCCTTTCTGTTAATTCCAGACAAGTATTTAATGCAAATTTCACATCTGCCATGGTGGGTTTCAAAGCCCTGTCACCTGACCATTAGCCTGAGATTCTGTATTATTTGTCCAGCAACATTTCCACTACACGACTGCCTCATGACACTGTTAACACAAAGAGCAGTGCACATCCTGGCCCAAAGGCTGCACAATCAATGTAACTTTTCAAACCTGTTGATTCAGTGTCAGTGCAAATCAGACAGAGGCTGGTAAATGATATTGATATTTAGATTAGTTAATTCTTTAGCAGAACCACTCCATGCATTGAACGGCCTCTTTGTTCTTATATCCTACACTAAGGGCTATGTGTATTTTTAAAATTTCCAGACCTATTGCACAGTTTCATATAAGGTTAGACTAATTCAGTTAGTTAACTTCTATGTTTCAAATTCTGCATAAGAGCTAGGAGAAGGAAGAATGCCATCTGTTCAAGCTGTTCCACCATTCAATAAAATCATGTCTCATTTTCTACCCCACTTTTGATTCCTTTGTGTCTACAAATCTGTTCATCTTAACCATTGAGCATCTAAAGTTTCCTGGATAGAGAGTTACAAACATAAACAACCCTCTTTGTGGAGAGATTTCTCCTTATCTCAATCCTCAATGGCTGACTGCTCACCACTGTTAAATACTAGAGGTTAAGAATGCTAGATAGGGTCTAGTCAGAACCTTTCTGGTCAGTGTTTTATTCCTAGTTCATAATCTACAAACTCTCATGAAACTGATTACTCGTTCCCTATATTTGTGCACCCAGTTCTAATCCAATTAACCATAATTAACATATAACCACTGCCAATTTGCTAATTCCATTTGGCTACAGGCATCCTTGAGAGACTCTGCAAGATATTAACAACCAAGAGACTGTGAGCTTTAATTCTGCATTCTCCAACCGGGTGAAAAATCCTTCCGGCATCTATCTCATCAAGCCCTTTAAGAATATCATATGATTCAATGAGAACACCTCCTTTTTCTAAACCCTAGAGAATATAGGCCCATTCTGTTTCAATTCCTATTCATTAGACAACCCAGGATCTTCAATTGTATATAGTACTTCTCAGCTAATCCACAATTGATGCTCCAAATGTAATACAAAATGTAGAATGTATATGTCTGAAATAAACCTGAAATGGGGTAATGGATTGACATTCTCGTATTCAGGGGCAATGTTATAAATCATTGAGTACGCTGTCTCTCACTGTGAAGCTTTGTTACCAACACAAAATGGGCAATGTTATTCTAACAATTGCAGTGTAACTTGAGCCTGAATTTTCATTCCCAAGGATAATGAGCTCATTGCACTCTCTTGGGAGTAAAAGTGCCCAAAAGGCAGTATTTTTATTCTGGCGTTGGGAGTAAGAAAGGCTACAATTGCTGGATGGATTTGAGCCCCTGCCCCCAGATGCAGATAGGTGAAATGCCAGATTTGGCTCCCTCCATGCGATTTCATACCCTGCACCTTACTGTAGCTCGTTATAGCCCCCATGTTGATTTTTACCTCCAGGCCCCTACTGGATAGTCATTGGGAACCATGCTGAACTGAAGTAAAACAAAGTTCTGAATATTTATTACAACATCACTATATTTTCTTTTAAAAAGTTCTCATTCATGAAAGCTCATTCAACACATATAGAGTTATACAGCACAGAACAGACCCTTTGGTCCAACTCATCCATGCCGACCATGTTTCATAAACTGAACTAGTCTCATTTGCCTGCATTTGGCCCATATCCCTCTAAATCTTCCCTATCCTTGTACCTGCCCAAATATCTTTTAAATTTTGTAATTGTACCTGCCTCTGCCACTTGTGTGAAAATGTCGCCTCTCAGATCCCTTTTAAATCTTTTCACTGTCACCTTAGACCTATGCCTCTCTAGTTTTGGACTCCCCTAGCCTGGGGAAAAGACCTTGGCTATTCATCTGATGTATGTCCCCTTTTGATTTTATAAACCCCACAAGGTTACCCCTCAGCAGCTTACGCTCCAGGGGAAAAACATCTCAGCCTATCTAGCCTCTCCTTCTAACTCAAAATCTCCTGTCTTGTTTATATCCTTGAAAATCTTTGTTGGGCCATTTCCAGTTTAATAACATCCTTCCTATACCAGGGCAACCAGGATTGCACATAGTACTCCAAATGTGGCCTTACCACTGGCCTTGTATAGCTGTAACTTGCTGTACTCAATGCTTTGACCGATGAAGCCAACTGTGCCAAATTCCTTCTTCACTAAACTGAGAAAACAAACGTGTGTTTATGATCCTGCATCAAAGACAGCTAATCCTTTAATAACCCATCAATCAAACTGTAAATATGCACCTCC